AAATTCGGAAAGATTTTGTCGCGGCAAGTGGATCTTTTCACGCGTGAAATGAAAGTAAAATGCGCGCGCTTCATTATTTCATGATCAGAGTTGTCAAAACTCCGAGACTGTAGCAAGTGAAAAAGACCCCAGGTAAGTGCAGACAGGGGATAGGCACAAAACGAAATATTTTCAAAACAACATAGTACTATGGAAAACATTGCAAGACGGAATCTCTGAACAAGGTTTTTTCCTATCCGTGCAATAGTACGGTATTTTTGCACGCGCATACAGGTTGGAGAAAGAGTTATTTACTAACGAGGTTTCGTTTCTGAATTGTTAATCTCATTCGTCATTCTTTTTGTTTGAAATATCTTTTTTCAATTTTTGGGGATGATCGCCATCAAGAGAAGTGTCAGGGCAAAAAAACGCAATAATGCAATAATCTACCTTTTTTTTAAGAAAGAACGCAGTTGGATTATTTTACCTATTACAATGGCTCACTTTTAAGCTTATTTTTAACATTTCCCAATGGGGCGAAATTGTTCACATAATCTGGATGCTAGAACAGTGGAGGAAAAATGATGATGATGATGATGATGATGACGAATCTCATCTCATGTCAAATGACGTCTAGCAGAGGAGGAATACCACCCCCACTAATGAACGGGCACCTAAAATATCCCTAGCCATGCAATATATTAAAAGTGTTGCTTGAAATCAATTAAAACAACCCAAACTAATGATACATACAACTAACCTTGTCTAAAGTGCACTAGATCCTGATAATTTTGAAATCTTTTTTATTAAATCTGTTTGAGTCTACTATGCATGAACCTTTAAGGATTTACCAGCTTTTGGTTTACCAGTCTGTATATTGTGACAGAACTCTAAAGAATGAAGATTTAGTGTGTATATCATACATGAACTACTTGAACCTCTAAAGGAATCAAGCCCAGAGTAATAGTTTGTTTACTTTTCTCAAATGACTTTTCTCCTTTTTAATATGTTAAAAAAATGTTTATTTGTTTCATTTTAAACTTGATGCATTAGCTGCCTTAAAGTTAGGAGCCTAATAGGTACCAGGTTCTTGAGTTTAAATATAGAATTATGTATGCAGCGGCTGGCTTCAAATGGGGTTTCAAATAAGTGTAGTGCATGCTGTGCTTCAGGAACAATTTGTATCAAAAGACTCAATCATAACATTTAAATGCCTTTTTTATTTAATCATTAATATTATAACAGCAAATAGGAAGTTTATTTATACTTTTCTCTTT